ATGAAATTTAGATTCCAGCGCCTGATATGGTTGAAGTTCATTGAGAGAGCGCTAGTTGTTTTTTTGCACAGTTTTTTTGATTCCGTTTTTACTTGTCTCTTAATGAACTTACATTTAGGGCCGGTTGTTCAATGTCCGATTAGCACAAATCGGAGGTAGAAGCTCCGGTTAGATACAACGACTGCTTTATCGATCACATGTTATATGCATGCTGTCGAAATCGTCGATAATGATGTTTAACCGGCAAGTAGTGATAACCAGACATTGAACAACCGGCCCTTAAAGTACATAGTTATATGTGGTATATACATATTGTGGCGAATACCACAGTATACCAGTAGAAAGTTTTTGTTGTTGTAGCTGTTAATTTGGTCCCCATAAAGGACTTGAGGGTTGCGAGCAACTATTTTGCCGCATTCAGGGTGCTGTGCAGCAAAATAATGTGGTGAAAAATTTTAACATCGGATAAATGGCGAGAGAAATATTGTTATGCGCTTTATAAGTAAGCATGAACGTAATAAAATGTTTCATACTTCAATACAACTAATTAGCGCTATTTTTGCAATTCGAAATGATCTTAAAAATATTTGTAGTGAAATATGTACTTTATGAGTTAAATGGAAACTATCTTATATGTAAAAATATATTCCGATTTACTTCAAATAAATGATGTAAAATGTTTTATATATGGATCTAATTTTAATAATAAAATTTATTACTTTCATCTACATTGTTTTTATTGTAAGTTTTCACGAGTAGTTGCAGTTTTCTGCAATTGTCTCTGGCCGACTATACATGTTAAACCCAAATAATTTCACAATTTGTACCCTATTAAAGGTTTATATTTTAATAAAATGTGATCAATTATTTAAGAATATATATATTCCGATCAAACTATAGTACTGAATGCTTGATAAATAATTATTTAAATCAAATGATCAATAGTGAACGCACTCGGAGTGAATTTTGGAACACGGAGCGAAATATGCATATTAAGATTAAATAATTTCTAACTTTCTACCATATTATACGTTTATATTTCAATGTAATATGATTAATTAACTCCGAACAAACTTCACTACTGAATGCTTGACAAAAAATATTTGAATCAAAAGATCAATAGTGAACGCGCTCGGAGCGAATTTTAGAACACGATATAAATGTTAAGACTAAAAAATTTCTTATAAGCTTATGTTTTAATATAATATAATTAATTACTGAAGAATATATTAACTCCGATTAAACTATAGTATTAATTGTATGACAAACTATTTAAATCAAATGATCAACAATGAACGCGCTCGGAGCAAATTTTGGAACACTTCATAGAATATTTACAGAGGAAGTATATTATTTGGTAGAGATCAAAATGTATTTAACAAAGTGTGATTGAATTTGATATTGCTCTCAGAAGAACCATCCTATAGTCAAATTGAAAAAAAAATTTTATGCATTTTGAATCGTTTGTTTATATTTTTTACATAATATTAAGAGAGCCGCACTGAGTTGTCAATAACACCTTGTTTAATACACCCATGATACAAATATTTAAAGGTAAAAGGCGCTTGCTCAATTCGTCGGCCATCATTTATTTTTTGAAGTTTGTCTATTTTATAAAATTGAAATTTTGAGAGCAACTCAAATGCCAAATAAAAGTAAAACAAAAAACAAATAGATGAAAATATTGAAATTTTCATTTATTTGAGACTGAAAATGAGAATGTATTTGTGAAATTGGAAATTTGAAAACATTTTTGTAATGTTAGCAAACTTCAAAAATGTTCAGGCTGCCTCTCAGCGGTTTTACCTTCAGATTTTTGTATCATGGATACACCTCGAGATATCACGAACAAGTTTTCCTTTGTTTATTTTTACTTAAAGTCCTTAAATATGTATCTTGATTTCTGTAGAATACGTATTCATTTTTTTAACCTTTTTAAAAAAAGGGAGGACAGTCGGATCTACGTAACCAGAACGACCTGAATGAGCATTAAAGTCGGTTGTATTTTTTGCTCAAAATTACTTGTTATTATTCAGATACAGTTTCGCTACTATTTAGAGATTTCTCGACATACTTGTTCACATTACTGTTATTTATTATTTTTCTTATTAGTCGTTTATATGTTTAGGACTTACTGAGGGTGCTTTAAGATTCATTTTGTAAATATGTATGTACATATAAAAAACAATTGCGATATTTTATTTTATTTTAAATTATGAATTTTATTCGTGCAATTTTTTATGTTTAATAGTTTTGAGATTTTTTGGTTCTGTTGTATTCTTTTATTGCATATCTTTAACTCTTTTATTTTAAGTTATAATGTTGAAGATAAGCCTTCTGCCTTTGTCAAGCACTTTAGCTAGGTACGAGAAATTTAGCATATGCACGCAAGAGCATAGGGTAGGTATAGGGCTGTGCTGCCGCGATTCTCCAACATCTTGTCAAAGGAGAAAACATATTGGTGGCGGAATCCATCGTAGTCCGATTTTTCATAAAATCTACAAAAAAGCGATCACTGAATCTGAACTGCTATGAACGTGTGTATTCAAAGCAAGCACTGCGTTCGTAGCTACTCGAATTTAATTGCATTTTCATAGATTTCACGGAAAATCGGACTACGATGGATTCTATGACAGCCTTGATTAGTTCGTGCCAATATAGCAACTCAGTTACCAGCTTTCAGTTGCTAGTTGCCATCGGTAATACCATTTCAGCCACTGGCCAACCCACTGAAGTTCGGTTGTCCTCCGTAATCGTCCCATAAAATCGGAATCGAATATGCATGCACGTTCTGCAGAACGATAAATATTTTGTAAATGTGTGCTCTGTCCGCTAACGAATTCCAGCCATGTGTGAAATATCGTATGTGAAGCCTCCGTCTTAACTTAACGATTGTCAAAGGCACGCCAGAAGATGTTTCATCATATGTTTTCGACCATCGTCTTCTTCGAGTAAGTTCATCGATTCCAAAAACTTTACAACCTCTATGTGCCAGCATCCCTTAGTGTTTTTGCCAATGAGATGGCACTATTGCACTGTTAATAACCAAATTTAGCCGCAGTTGCATTCACACGTGATATAATAGCTATTGTCGGCATGTGGGAATCCCCAGGAGATGGCGTTTGTTCAGCTATCGAAATCATTACACCGACGGCGGTTGGCAGTACTGCTGGAACATATTTACCACAGCGGTGGTTGTGGCGTTTTGTTATGCAACAATAGCCTGCAATGATGACATATCATATAATGTCGATGAACAAAGATATAAAATTGAAAATGACTAACCTTATTCCCGGCCGATTGGGAGACCACCCTTGGTCACGACCAGAACGCATTTACCAAGAGGAAAAACCGCAGGGATTGCAGTAGTTCTTGCAATCACCGTTGATGATGCTGTGCTTGTAATTAATAGTCTGAAAAGGCAGACAATTGCATTAATCAAATGTTAAACACATCAAATAAATAAATTTCAATAATTTGTTTACCACTTTACAAACCGAATTACCAAGAAATATAAACTCTTTTTTTTTTTTTTTTTTTTTTGTTTAGAAACGCAACAACGCGTATAGAACATTGGCAAGGACTGTTATGATGTCCTCAAGAGCCAGGTTATCCAAGAAGATTTTAATTGTATGCGAAGCTTTTAGTGAGCGGTGACCCGACGAGTGATGATAAACCAAGCAAAAAATTCAAACTGCACAAATTCAAAAGTGATTGATCACCAATTTAACCTATCGTACTACGTACATTATAATACAATAAATACAAAATTCTCTATCAGCCTTTTTTTTTTTTTTTTGATTGCCTTTTATACAAGAATAAAAGGTTTGTACCCTATCAGGTATTCATGTAAGTACAGGTTATAAGATGAATTTTCATATTCATGAGGAAATTAAAAAATTATTGAGTACAAAATCACCAAAAACTACAGAAGTAATTCATTTTTTAAGCCAAGTAATAAAGTGAATCGACTATCTTATAATTAATAAAATGTGGTTGTACCAGCAGAATCAAAGGAACTTGATTGCAGAAAAAACACTAATTTAGGCATCTTTACAATTAACACAAAAGAATCGTAATACATGTACATATGGAAAATTTAACTACAATGAGGTAGATACATCCAGACTCCAAACCAGTCATACATATCTCTTAATGACACTCATCCATCATCTTCTTCTTTCTCTTCTTTTTATTTTATTACTAATATAATTATTTTTATTATTATTATTATTTTTTAAATGCACAATCGTACGTGCCCAATTCCATATCTGATTGAATAGAAAAAATTTAATCATATGACTACATTCTAAAGCATTCGGAACAAACATGCATACATATTTGTTTCATACTTTTTTTTTTGTTTTCCTTGCTTTCATTAAAATTTCTCTTTTTTTTTAATAATAATTGACTGGTTGTAATTGTTTTTCTTCATTTTCCCTAAAACGACTATTACTTAACAATAAACAAACATATGTCTGTTTTATACATACATACACTTTTAATTTTTTTTTTCCCTATATCTATATCTTTTTATACTCAAAGAAGCGTGTCGAGCTTCACCGTCTCCAAAAAGCAAAGCAACTCCCTGAGATGGCGATAATCAAAACTGGCGAAAATTTCTTTTAAGCAGTTGTATTTACTAAAAATAGTGAAATTGTTTCTGGCGGCGGAAAACTTTTGGCATACAAAAATGAGATGGTCATTTGTCTCTCTAACCCCACAGCATAAACAAGCATCAGTGATGTTAGCTTTAAACTTACTTAAAAAAATCTCTCCATATGTGTGTCCACACATGAGTCTATTTATTAGTTTTATTTCCTGAACGGAAAAATTGCATTTTTTATCGCAGAACCAAGGGGAGTCAGTTACCTTACCTCCATTTTCAGCAAAAACTTTACCTTTGGATTGAGAAATATCCGAAAACTCACTCTCCCACTCACGCCAAATGGCTTGCCGAATTCTTCTAAGCCCCTCCTCAACCGTAAACTTTATATGCATGTCCTGTCCATTTCTCACTGCAGCCTTTGCCGCTAAATCCGCTTTCTCATTGTACACTAACCCCACATGACTGGGAACCCAACTAAGCTTTATGCTTTCAAACTTTGAGTTGTGCATCAAATTTTGAATCTCCGCAACAATGTGATTAGTCGTTCGTTTCTTGTTAATTAATCTCAACGCCGCCATGCTATCTGAAAGAATGGCAATTTTCTTACACTCCAACTTGACCATCATCCGAACCGCCTGCCTGATTGCTAGAAGCTCCCCGAGGGTGGAGGAAAAATCACCCACTACTCTATATAAGAATGACACATTTTTTTGAGGATCATGGACTGCGAAACCCACCCTTCCATCAGAAACCGACGCATCCGTGGCAAGGAGGTAAAAACCACTATTCTGCAGTTCCCTTAGTCTAGAGACAAAAATACTTTTCAACTGTACCGTACTAACATTATTTTTGGTAGTACCCAGCTCCGAAAGCTCCACGTGGAGGTTACGATGCCTACAAAAAGAAACATCAGTACCAAGAAGATTGAAAACGGCTTTGTGCTTTTCGTAAACAAAACAATAACTGGATTTAGAGACACTCCCACTCATCAGGTCATCCCTGAGGCGAGGATTTACAAGCCACTGTCTGCTGAGCTCCTTGGCAGCCAACCATTCCGCTCTTTTCAGAGGGGGAAGCTCGCCTGCCAAAGCATACCTCACATGCACCGGAGCACTTGGAGGAAGCCCCAAGCACCGCCTAAGGGCCGTTTGCACCATGTCTAGTTAATTCTAACTCCCAGTTAAACATCTTTATCGACGTTATCGACACCCATCATATAACATGTGATCGATAAAGCAGTTAACGTGCTTAACTGAAGGATGTACCTCCAGTTAGCGTTAACTAGACATGGTGCAAACGGCCCTAAGAGTATCATTCAAAATGACTTGTATCTTTTTGTTGTACCCAATAGGTGCATCCGCATAAGTGGAGTTAGCGTATTCCACCTTGCTTCTCACAAAGGACTTATAAAAATTTAAAGCTACTTTGGGCACCAAACCGCTTTTTATAGGTGTTAAACATTTGATAAGATTCTTACCCGGTACCGCAATCCTTTTTAGTCTGCTAACCTGATTATTTACCGATGTACTCGCAGTAATTACCCTCCCCAACCACTTTAGCGAGCGGACCTGCTCAACTTCTTTACCATCCAAGTATAAAGAAAAGGAGCTAAACCTATTGCTATTTACACACATGAATTTGGTTTTTTCCACATTTATGCCAAGATTTAGACTTTTGCACCTATTACTGAAAGCCATCAGTTTGCCCTCAAGGGCACTTATAGCCTCCAGCTCAGTATTACCACAACAGATGAACGCAAAATCATCCGCAAACTGAAACATCAACGAGCTATCATCATTCAACCCTTGGAGCCCTGCAGTATAAAGGTTAAAAAGCAGCGGCGACAGACAGCTCCCCTGGGGTAGTCCATTTGAAACCTCAACTGAATGCTTTCCTAACACAAGAGTTCTTCTGGAGAAAAAGTTTATCACCCAATTACGAATTCTGCTATCGACTCCTAAAACCTTTAACCTGTAATCTAACTTGTCGATGCTGACACAATTGTACGCGTCGGAAATATCCAATACACACACGAAAACTTTTTTCCTACACTTCTTAAATTTGCTGGACCAGTAAATGAACTCATTAAGGCACATTGTCGCCGATTTCCCTTTTCTGTATGCAAAACAGCCATCCGGAAAAACGTTATTTTTTTCCGCCCATTCCATTAGCTCTTCTTTTATAATCATGTTGATACTCTTCACAAACACGGAAAGAAGCGATATAGGTCTGAAATTCTGAATATCATTAAGATCCTTCCCATGCTTAGGAATAGGCACGATCTTGATCTTCCTCCACTCCTCTCTAACTCTATTCTCCAGAAAATGCCTCTTAAAATCGCAAACTAAAGCCTCCTTCGTGTCTACCGGCAGCCCTTTCAGCATACCAAATGTTACGCCATCCAAGCCCCCCGCCGATTTCTTCTTTTTCCTCAAAACGCTATCAAACACCTCCACCGAAAACTCTAACCCCGAATCGTCCATACACCCATTGTCGCTGACCTGACAGTCCCGACCCACTTCAACGGTCCGCACTGCGCATTGGTTTTTTAATAAGTCTAAATATTGAGCCTGCTCATCACTGGGCCAAAATGGAACACTTTTACGAGTCCCCTTAACACTATTTACGAACCTCCATGCATCTGTAGTGTTCGGGTATTCATTTAACTCACTAATTCTCGCCCGATAGCAGTCCGCTTTTGCTTTTTTTACAGCCGCTTTCCACTCCTCTTCCATATTAAGTAATTCCTCAAAGTCCCTAACATTGTTCGTCAGCCTCGCTTTCTTCCTGCACGCCGAAAGCAGGCGAAATTGTTTTTTTAATGACTCGTTCCACCACGCTTTGAGGGAACCCTTAACAGAGTTTAAATCAATCGTGGCTCCTTTAATCTCCTTATTTATGGCCTCGCAGATACCATCAACCCCCTCATTACAGTGAATTCTAGCCAGCGCCGAGTTAAGCTTTCGCTTTTGAACGAACGGAACCGGTTTGCTCGCAACGTTTGGAAGATCTATAATAATAGGCCAGTGATGGCTGCCCCCGACAAAAACACGGACCACCTTCCACATAAGCTGACAGTTCGAGTTAGTAAAAGAAAGATCTAAGACTGAAAGGCTGCCTGGACAGTTTTTGCTAGTAGCGAAAGTAGGACTACCATCGTTTAAACATTTGAAATTTGCCTTTCGAATCGCATCGAGCAGAATTTTACCTTTAGGAAGGTCCTTTGGGCTACCCCATCTTCTGGTCTTAGCATTGAAATCCCCCAACAGTAGGATGTTTTCGCGTCCCTCCAAAAACAGCAATAAACGACTAATTTCATAGTCAAAGGGATGTTTGTTTAAATTCGGTGGAAAATAAGCAGAAGAAATAGAAACTCACCGCTTTGCGATACAGAAATAATAACCAACAGGGGTGCATTTTCTTGGTAAACAACTGAAGCGCTCAGAGCAATCTGATCCACAATATTATTTTCTGAAAAATAAGACTTGAAAAGAGTTTTTAAACATGATTATCACATTATCTAATTAGCGCACACTATCGAGTTTATTTCTAGTAGAATATAATTGTATTATCTCAGACTTTTTTTCAATGTTTTCTAATATTCGTTCTTTTGGAATGCAAAAGCAACCATGCGCTCAATTTCTTGTGGGGAAATTTGGCGCCCATAAAGGACTTTCACCACGAAACAGCTACAAAAACAAAAACCTTTTCTACTGGTATACTGTGCGAATACTGCGGCAACACAAAGCGAACAACGAGAAATAGGCAGAATGTTCGAGGAATGATGTAGAATGTTCCACAAAGAGAAACGTCAAGTTGGATGAACACTGCGAACAGCGAGAGAAAGAGAATGAGCGATAAACTTCAGAATGTTCTAGAGTTGCCATAAGTGCCAGCGCAGGTATATAAGGGCGCCGCCATAGCGCAGTGAGTTAGTTACGAGTTACAAGTCAGCAAGCTACAAGTAAAGTGAGCAGAGAAGTGAGTTGCGAATAAGCAAGCTATAAGTTTAATTGCGTTAACAAGTAGTAAAGCGTTGTTATTGCTTTAACAAGTATTGTAAAGTGTTTTTACTGTATTAGCAAGTATTGTAAATTGTTTTTTGTACAATAAAGTTAATTGTACTACAATTTGGTCATCGTTTGCATTTATTTAACAATCCAGCGATACGAGCCGGGGTATATTTGGGAAATCCCTCAAGGTTTCGAGGATAATCGTAACAATTGGTGTCAGAAGTGGGATTATTAAATAAATCCCGAAGGATAAACTACTGAAAATGGCGAAAATTCAGGACTTAAAGATTGAGGAGCTGAAACAGGAGTTGGAAAAGCGTAATTTGGCCACCTCCGGAAGAAAAGTGGAGTTATTATCCCGTTTGCGGGAGGCTATGGAAGCTGAAGGCATCGACGTGGACAAATACGACTTCCAGGGTAAATCCGACGATGCATCCGCAAAGGACGAACAGAATGATGAGGCTGCTTGTTCGTCGAAGGATGTGCAGCAGACATCCGGGAAGGTTGAAGAACAGCAAAAGTCGCCAAGTTCATCAACAGCTATGGACATGAACACGTTATTGGCTGCCATGTCACAGATGTCATCACAGCTGTCATCTCAGATGCAAACACAGTTGTCAGATATTTCGTCGCAGCTACAGGCACAGAAGACACACGTATCACAGTTGCTGGAAGTCCAGGATGCAAAGATTACACAACTGCAGGAGAATTTGGCTAGAGATAACGAACAAATCAAGGATAGACAGGATAAAGTCGAGGCTAAGGTAGAAGAGTTGGAAGGTCGCCTCCGAGATATGCAGTTGAATCATCCACCTTCTTCGACCAGCGCGCCCAAGGTAAAGACTCCATCCTTTGACGGCACGATTCCTTTCCAAGTCTTTAAGCTCCAGTTCGAAAAGACGGCTACAGCAAACAACTGGAGCATGGACGATAAATACGCTGCTCTGTTCGTGGCATTAAAAGGACCTGCAGCGGAAATATTGCAGACTATTCCCGACTGTGAAAGGAACAATTACGATGCCTTAATGGGTGCAGTGGAAAGACGTTATGGTAGCGAGCACAGGAGACAGATTTATCAGATGGAGCTGGAGAATCGCTGCCAGAAATCCAACGAGACTCTATAGGAATTCGCCTCCGAAGTTGAAAGGCTGGCTCATTTGGCAATTGGAGATGCATCTGGTGAGCACCTCGAAAGAGTAAAAATCCAGAGGTTCATCAACGGAATGCGGGACGTGTATACCAAGCGAGAGACGTACGCGAATCCAAAGCCAACATTTGCTGAAACTGTCTCGTATGCTCAGACGCGTGAAACGGCGGCGCTCCTAAGTAGACCAGCCTACAAAGCACATCGCGTGGAAGTGGAAACACCGGACGAGACAAATGAAATGCTGAAGAAGATTATCCAACTGCTGGGCGAGAAAAAGAATGGCTCTGGCAAATGCTTTAAATGTGGAAAGCCAGGCCACTTCGCCCGTGATTGCAGTGCAAGTTCCAGTGGGCTCAACAATTCAGCAGGACGCAAATGCAGGGCTGAAGGAGACCAGTGCTGTCGTTTTGACTACTATAGTAGTTTTTTACTACCTTCAGAACATTTGTACTACTTGACTACTCCTCTGCTCAATGTACTACTATTTAAATTTTTTAGTGCCAAATTGTTTTTTGTTTTAAAAATATGCTTCCTTATCCTGAGTTTCGCCCAAAAAAAAATTCACCCGAAAATTTATCATCCGCCCATAGTAAATACATGGAAACCAAAAGTGAAAAGTGAACCGGTTCGGGGAAAATGAAACTCATGATAAGGCTGATGGTAATATAGAACAATTGCAACCAGTGTGGCAGCCTTGTCCGTTCACTATTTTACAGGAAAATGTGTAAGATGTTTGTCTCGCTCTTATGAACAATACACATATGTTTTGTTTTATTCTTCGCAGTAAATTTGTGTGTATGTCAATAAATTTTACAGTTATCTTAAAGTGTGCATTGAAAAGAAATTTCGCAATTGAAGTTTAAAAATTTTAAAGGGCATTACAAATAGTTTATTAGCTGGAGCTCTATATTTAAACATATTCGCAATATGGAAAAGTGAGTAGCTAACATTTCATGTATTAATAAAACCTTTAATACAAAATGAAAATTTTCTTTATTAGATATCTTCAAAAAAGTTCCAAGAATACCAATGGTGTTGAAGGTGTACCAGAGCTGTAAAACTGTGAAATCATTTGAAATTAAAAATCATCAATTTTATATTATTATGTTTTCATTGAATTCTCCCTTATTGAATAATGCGGCTTATAGTTTTCCAATTCTACATTCACTCAAAGTAGATACGATTGCACACATTTCCATATTCAAAGAAAGATTGAAAAAATTGAATGACGAACGATTCACTTTTAACACTGAATAAGCACTCAGATGAATGCAGCTTTTGCTATGTGTGCACACATCCACTCAGTACCAATCATTTGATATAAATATTTTGAACACACAAAACCCTCTGAAAAATACGCCAGGTTGCATTTTATTAAAAAGACTGCAAAATTTCAACACGAAAAATAGTTAATAGAGCGTTATCATCAGTTTTTTTCACTTAAATTTGTACAAGGATTTATAAGAATAAAAAATATTAATTGGAGAAATATTTTTTAGTGAGCGTGTCGTTAGAATGTCATTATGAAAAATATAAATTATTAATGATTTTAACATCTCTGTTTAGA